TAATAATATAGTTATAAGATTTTGATATTTTAATACTAATATTTTCTTTTTTATTATTAGCTTATCCTCATCAATCAGGAAACAAGATATGCTATGGTCAAATTAAAAAGAAATCTTGTGAAGTTGAATTTTACAAAATCACTCCATTAGACCTTAAAGTATGTCTATTTGTAATCCTTATATGTAAAGGATTACATACACACACCACCTCCTCCTATACAAACTCCAGATAATATTAAAAAAGGTTGCAAATGCTTGTTAAACAGGCCAATGAAGATTTATTGGATGTAACTCCTACTCATATTGTAACAGATAAATTTTTGTTTAAATTTGTTTAATTTCATCTATTTATAAATAAATTAGTTAACTATTTTTATTTTAGGTGGTTTAATCAAAACCTATTTTGGTATTGATAATTTATATGAAGTTCATTCTTCACTTAATGATACAAACAAGTTATGGTATTGTATAAATAAAATCCAAAAGGAAAAACATCCATTTGGTCAAGATTTATTAGGAGTCATATACAATTTTTTATGTAATATTAACAACTTTCAGAATTATGTTCAATGATTAAGTAAGTATATATTAAAATAATATTTTAATTAAAGTTTTAATTACATATTTAATTTTGTATTTGTTTTAGATTTTTTTAATGATGGACATGTAATGATTATTTGTACAACTCAAGTTCAAATACAAAAATAGATTAAATGTGATTATTTTGAAATTGACTTATCATTCAAAAGAGTTGCTAGAGAAATTAACGAATTTGAAGTAAATTATTATGATAAAAAATATATTATAATTAAAATTTATATTAATTTTGACAAATATATTAGGTTTAACCTTTGCCCGAATTTTTACAAATCAAGCAACAACTGCTGCATATCAATGCATATTCAATACATTATTTAATCTCATTAAACAATTTACTAATGAACTAGCCAAATTTAAACATATTCATAGAAAAAGATGGTATTGTATTATTGGTGATCTTGATATGGCACAGCTTACTGGATTAGGTGAAGCTTTAGCTTTAATTGATAATTCTTTGACTTGAGAAGAACATTTAATTAATATTTTCAAGTCTTGTCAAGTTTATTATAAATGGTAAGTAATAGAAATAATTAAAATAATACAATATTAATTAAATATATATTAATAGTTTATTTTATATAGAAAATTATATAAAAAGAGATTTACAAGTAATATTAAAGCTAAAATGGAATTATTATTAACAGTGAAAGCTGAGAAAGTAGATTTAATATTCGATAAATTATTAATATTGGATGATAATCTTTTAGGTATGTTTTATGAAATAATTACAGTAGTTGCGTGATGCAGTTGTATTTAAACTAGGAACATAGCATATTTATTTTTTGATAGTTTTTTTAAATAAAATTTATTTACTGCATAGTGTATAATTTTATATATCATATTATATACTTTTAAATAATTTAATTAAAAATTATCAAATAAAATAGATTGGGTTCAATATTATAAAAAACCCTATATAATCGCATTTCTCAATCCAAATATTTCGAAGATTTCATATGATTCTTGGCATGCCACTCCTAATAATATGAATTGTGCAGAATCGGCACATGCTATGAGTAATTGTGAAGGCAAGCAACTAAAATTAATGATAGCAATATTAAGGTCTGTTTATATTTCTATATTATAGTTTTTTTTTATATTACTTATCACTTTATTTTATTTTAGAGGACAAAAATTAGATATGCGTAATTTTAAAAGAATCAATATAAATGCCAATTACAATATTAATTTAAGCAGTCAAGATAAAAGTGGTATTGCAAGAAAGAAATTGGCGATTAAACGTAGTAGTAAGTATTTTTTATTTAAATTAATTTTTTTTTTAATATTTATATTTATTAAATTATTTATTACAAATAGCAAAATAACAATCTAAAGCTAATTCTTCAATAAAACGACAAAATAAAAAACAACGAATATCCAAAGTAATCGATTTAACTGATGAAACATCGCAAGAATTTCAAAATAATAATGAACTCAGGGAATCCAGCATGATGGTGATGGAAAAGTTAAAATATGAAGAGCGCATGTTGATAATTGCAGAACGTAAAGAAAAATTAAGGGAATTATGAATTTCTAATACTATTAAAGAGCGTGAATATGGTATTAAAGAATAAATATTAGGTATGCGCAAATAATAATAATGGGTGAAAAAATAATAAAATCAAATGTTATTACTGCTTAACATTAAAATATAGAGATAGTGTGCATGAATATATGGAGTAGAAGCCTGTTTTAAGGCTGAATAGGCAATTATTGATTTTTTATTATATATCGATATTGATTTAAATAATGTTTATATGCTTATAATAAATATTGTTTATTGATTATTTTCTCTCTGATTTCGTTATTGCTACTTATTAATTAATTAATTGTATCATAATTAAATATTGTCCATTGCATCATAATTAAAACAAATGAATTAATTTTACGTATTAATTTTCTTATCGATTATGTAATACGATTAACTTTGACCCATCAAGCCATCGATAAAAAATTCATGTCTATAAAATAGTACGTATACAAACTAGTATAACTGACTCAAATTTATTTTATACATGCATGTATATTATACGCTTTTTTAAAAAAAATTTTTTATACGTATAAGTATACTATACGTTTTTTCTTTTTTTTTAATCTATGTTACGTCTCTCATGGCATTAACCTTACGACTTTATGCAATACTGGAAATTACCCCTGATCCACGAAACATCTGACGTAGTACTGAATCTTGTTATTTCTCTATTTTTATTTTATTTTTTCGATTTGTTTTTTTGACTTGATTAAGTTCTTCGATCTACTTTATAAATTCGTTTTATTCAATCGATAGTATCGATTTATATTATTTGTTCATTTTACCAGTACGATCACATGAATGTGTAACATGTGCGAGCATTCAACTTTTTTTGATGTCGCTTAGGCTAATTTTCTTGAAATCCTTTTTTAGCAAACATTATGGTTTCCATTTGTACAATTTTGGTTTTTCTAATTTTTCTAACGAAATAATGTGATATCATTATTGTATGTAGTATGTATTGTATTGAAATTACTATTATGTATTAGTGCATTTAGATTAAGGCTTTTGAGAATAAGGCATATGACAATTATTATATAAAGACTTGAAGTGATAAATGTTTGGTCAATTTTTTTAAAATATTATTTATATTGGATTGATGAGTAATTTGTATGATTTATATAGCAGTTTACAGAAAGTATGGGCTTTATACTATACTAGTACGATCATATAAATGTGTAACATGAAATGTGAGATTATTGATGTTGCTTATGATTTTCGCAAAATCTATCTATCTCTAGTAGGAGTAATGATTTTTCATCTATTCATTTCTAGGAGTTAAGATGTTTGCATGTCGTATGATATAACTACATACACACATAGACTACATATTATGTGATTATGATGAAATTGCTAACAGTAATTGCCATTTTCAATGGCCTCCTTGGAAATAACGTTATAATCGTAATATACAAAATAAAATATGACCTATGGAGTGATCCGAACTGTTCAAAAAATCCTAACCCGGGTCAACCGTCAGTTGAGCAATAAGCCAACAAATTGGATTTACTATCGCTATCGGTTGAGTAATAAGTCAACTGATTGAAAACCTTTATAGCTATTATTATAGTAATTACTTTTTCGGCCGACCTAGTCAAGTAATTGATTCGGTATAATTGTTATATATTGTGAACAGCTTCATTACCCCTATCGACCCAGTTTTCTTTCTTTTCTTTTATTTTACCTCTGTTTATTATCATTTATACTATATTATTTCCCTTTTTAGAAAGATCATCGTGATATGTTAGTTTTAGTAAAATAGTGGAGTGGCAGACCATTTTTGAAGGAAGTGGAAATCATTACCATAGTAGGAAAAATCGAACATAGTTAACATGTTAAATATATTCAACATTTAATATATTTAACATGTTCAACATATTTAACATGTTAAGCATATTCAACATATTTAATATGTTTAACATGTTCAATATATTTAAACATGTTAAACATATTTAACATATTTCATATATCGAATATGTTGCATATGTTGTATTTATTAAATATGTTCAAAATGTACACGCTAATAATGTAAAAGATATAAAAGACTTACTTTTCCTCTTCAATAAAGAATAACTTTCTGAAGTTCAATTCGAATAAGTTTCAGAAAAACCTTCGAAATTAGAGTAGAAGCGTTTGTCTTTAACCACGTTATACCCTCTTGTAAAAATTGTTCAACATTGTAAGTGTAGTCTTTTCCCTGTAACTTTTGTATATTGTTTTATCATATTTAGAATGAAGAGACATTGTACTATATTAGTCATACACCTTATATATATCAATCGACCTTTGATTAAATTTGTGATCAAGGTTATTACACCTGAAACATGACCCTGTGATACTGTAACTAGAGATAGGTTTGGTCAATTACGGTTGGTTATCAGTCGGCTATTATCAACTATCGACTCAGAGTCGACTATAGCCGGCTATAGCCAATCAATTGAAGATCTTTTTAAATTTAATAGATGTTCAAAAACTTTGATCAAAGGTATCTTGACATCTACCTGATCAAATTCAATAACAATTTTTTTATTTGTATTCTACTGTTTTCTATAATCAAAACAAAAAAAACTTCATCGAATTTGACTTAGTGGATGCTGAGATATCTTCGATCAAAGTTTCAAAACTACTTTGCCACAGCAATATTTAGAATTTTACAAAATCTTTGATAAATATATCTCGGCATCTACCTGATCAAATTCAATGAACTTTTTTATTTGAATTTAGCTGCTAATTAAAATTAAACCAAAAAAAAAATTCATCGAATTTGAATCAGTGGGTGCTGAGATATCTTCAATTAAAGTTTCAAAACAAATTTGCCACAGCTTATATTTGATAGACGTTTAGAATTTTACAAAAACTTTGATCGAAGATATCTCAGCATCTACCTAATCAAATTCTATGAACTTTTTTTTATTTCAATTCTGCTACATGTTATAATTAAAACAAAAAAAAAGTTCATCAAATTTAACTCAGTGGATGCTGAGATATCTTCGATTAAAGGTTCAAAACAAATTTGCCGCAGCTTATATTTGATAGACGTTTAGAATTTTACAAAGAATTTGATTGAAGATATCTCGGAATCTACCTGATCAAATTCAATGAATTTTTTTATTTGAATTCTGCTGCTTTCTATGATTAAAACAAAAAAAGTTCATCGAATTTGACTTAGTGGGTGCTGAGATATCTTCGATCAAAGTTTCAAAACAAATCTGCTGCAGCTTATATTTGATAGACATTTAGAATTTTACAAAAACTTTGATCGAAGATATCTCACATTTACCTGATCAAATTTGATGAAGTTTTTTTTATTTGAATTCTGCTGCTTTTTATAATTAAAACAAAAAAAAGTTCATCAAATTTGACTCAGTGGATGCTGAGATATCTTCGATCAAAGTTTCAAAACAAATTTGCTGCAG